TTGATGAATAGGACGTAATTGCTAAAAAGGGCCCTTGCGACATCCCAGGCTTGCGACGTGCTTGCGATAGCTTGATGAATGACCCCTCTGAGCGATATGTGATAATGGCGGGCTAATACTGGATTAACAACCCGGCAACGTTCCCCGGGAAATTAGACATCGTTAAGTGCGTATACTTTTCGTTCAGTGACAGTCCATTCTTTCTATTTCAGCCCTGAGCATAAACGGTGGTAATAATACGAATAATGTCATTTCTGAGGAAAATTAGTGAAATATACTAATTATGTATATATAAATCACTATGTTGCCCTTTCAAATGACGTTATACGGCCCTTGGTCCAATATTTCACTATATTGCCCTTTGAAATTACGTTATTGTACTATTAATGTAAACAAAGATAGTAAAAGGCACAAATGCAATTCGAAAACATATTTATCAAATTACCTAGTATGTAAACATAGATTTTCTCCCGATTTGTTTGTACCAATTTCGATTTTCTTTCCAATTTATTTTTAGTAATCCCAATTTTCTTCCGATGTTTTGAATTATTGCAGATATAGTTTTTGGACCCCAATTTTTTCTACCGATTTTCCCCGTTTTTTTATAGAAATCCGGATCTTTTCCCGATTTTCAGGTAAGAAAAGATTTTTATCCCGATTTTTCGGACCAACTTCTCCCGATTTTTCAGCAAAGATATCCAGATTTTTATTTTGTTTTTGTCAGATGCATGAGAATAGGGAGATTTTGTGCTTGTGCAATATATTAGGATTATGGAATAAAGCAGGCGAATGAGTTCTCAATATTTATGGGATGATATTGGGAACAAGGGAAGAGACAAAAGAAGGTATCATGTACATGTACGTGACCCGTATAAACAGGAAGTTTCACATTTTTCGTGTATAGCGCAACGTACAAAACCGATTGGTAATAAGTTGGTAATTAGTTTTATTTTTCAATTGGGTGTATTCCTCTGAAATTCTTTGAAAATCGATGAGCTGCAATTTGAGAAATTCTAATTCGAACTTTGTCAATTTAACATGCATCCCAATGGTACAAAAAGTAAGGAGAGTTCTACCGATGAAGTTAACTTGTTACTCGATATCGATTGTACAGCCACGAATCATATCTCTAAATATAGTTCAAACATGCCGCTACACAAACCTCAAAACTCTACGAACCGACCAGATACGGGCAATTATTAAAATTAAATTATTATTTACATTAAACATGTCCCATAATTATTCGTTAAATCATTAATTTAGTACAATTCATTAATTTCATTTCTCTTTTGGAAACAATTGGTGGCCCTGAAAAGGGCCGTGGTTGGTTTGTTGGTTTCTAATTCTTTGTTTTAGCTTGTTTCTTCTTCAGATTGTATCTTTCACGCCTTACACAAACGATACATTTTGTCATGATCCGTCCTCTACATGGTACATGGTACTGTATATAATGCTTGGTGCAATACCTGTGACCACATTTGCAGAGGAATAAATTGTTCTTGTTTAAATGTACAGCACATATCACGCATCTACAGCCATATTTAGGTACGTCTGCCGTTGGTGGGGGTGGTGGCGGCATCTTCTCTCGGAGGCTGAGAATTTTCTTTTTACTATAGCACATGCGGTAAACTTTACCAGACATAATTACTCACGAATGTCAATGAACGAGATAGATGACACTTTTTTTCTTCTGACGTTAGAAATATCCACGCGTAGGCAAATCTTTTTCGTGTGATTCTACTGAGTAATCATACTTAGGCTACAAATATGGTAAAACAGACGCAAGTGATTGATAAATAATACTGCAGTGGACCACATCAGCCCCCCTTGTCCGGATTGACATAAAAACACATATGCTGTCATTAACTGGTAACAGTATTTATGAAAAATCTAGGTCAAGGTCAAAGGTCTAAATCTAATTTAAAGGAATTCTAGTCGATAAAAATAACAAAATATTGCTTCTGGCACAAGATTAAATGACTTTTACATATTCTTTACCCTACCTTTTTTGTATTTTAACAATCAACACGTACAAGTATGCATTACATATTTCAGCAGATATCAGATAAATCAATAATTATTTTTGATTGATAAAATCATCGATTATAAAACCGGAACTGCGTTCTGTGACGTCCGCGTGTGATTTTGCAGATTTTAAATGCTCCTAAATGATCTTTTAATTATGATTTCTATTAGTAATGTTTTAACTTCCCTGTTTCATAAAAAAGAACATTATCACCATTTGCTCGACCCGAAAATTCACTTCCGGTCTGTCCTAATATAGATGAGCTGAAAGTTGTCGTGAACACCTTTCAATCCTCAGTCTAAATATCGCTGTTTGCCCTATGTTGAGGTCTCGTGTTATATGCATAAGATGATTGAATTGAATAAAACATCATTTGTTTTCAGGCAAAAAGGGGGAAACAGCCGATAATGTAGACGATATGCGATTTGTTCACAGGTAAATATTATGGTACAATTGACCCTTACAATTTTTTTTCAAGAGTAATTCTTAGTTCATGAGAAATGTCCTTGCATAATCTATGTTATTTTTCACTTGCACTTATTTACTTTCATTTAAAACCATGAATATTCCAGTTGAACGGTAATCTTATCTCATTTGTTTAGCTGAAAAGTGGATAGAGATGTTTTATCTATCAAAACATGAAATTACAGATAAGCAAGGGAAACTCGGATAGTGTGCAATGATCGAGCACTATTTCATTTAAAAATATTTATGACAAACTATTACCATTTCAGAACAATGTACAAGTCGAGGCAGTAGAAAAAGTCCAAGAAATTATAACCAAGAGAGGTAATATTTTATTACATGTGAAGTATGGAGCTATATCCAATATCCATACATAGTTTAACTCTTGTATAAACATTTGAAATTTCTCTTTTAATTTCAATGTAGGAAAATAACACATTTGATGTCAATGACTTGATTGAACTTTAATTAGGATCATGCTAATTTTAAGGAAGACGTGAATTATACGAAATATATATAGAAATATAAATATATATATACGGAAATATAGATTTATTAGTATATATGGTTCATTGTTTCCTTTATTCTTCAAAAATCTTCTTCATGGTTGATGTTCCTGTAAATAAGTAAGAGAAACCTAGATCAGTCAGTGATGTAAGGGGCCTCTGCTTGGCCCAATACCCCCTGAGGGGCCTGATCACCAACAATACAACTTGATTTACAGAGTTGCAATTATGGTTTAATGGGGATGTCTATCCACCTTATGTAATGACAATATCATAATTTTAAATTTTAAAATATAATATATATTTGTCCACTGCAATGACACTCGGTATAAACCCGCTGGAGAATAGTGTATTGAATGGACATAAACATTAATTTATTCAATTAGATACCTAGCAGCAGTGGTTACCATGGCAACATCTGCTAGGGGTTACCCTTTGCATTCGTTCGACTTTGCTTCTCAAAAGAGAGCTTCGTCTTCAGTAGTTTTCGGTAGTTTTTAACCAGACTGCGCGCAGGGTAGCTAGGGGTCCGTGGAGCAGCTAAATAATTACAAGAAACCAGGGAATATTGTACCATGTAATATTTAAAATTGACAATTACTTTTTAAATTGTGTTTTCACATTGGTTGTCCTGGGGCCAATAATGGTGTCATTTATTGTCTATTATATATTATATTTTACTATAATGTTATATGACGTGTCGCAAAAAGGTGGCGCATTTGTTTTTTAAGGGTATCGCGTGAATGTAACTTTGATTCCCCGGATTATAAGATAATATTCTAATTAAAGTTATATATCATTTTAAAGCTGTTCCGATGAAGTTTTTAGATCAAATATACTCCGTTCACAATTCTTGCGCGTTCTTTTTAAAAAAAGAGTTTTTTACCAAATCATCTGGCAAATATCCCCTGACACGTTACATTTTGAATTATTTTTCGTCTTTAAACGCTCATAACTCAAAGAATATATGACTATTATACTTATTTTTTGTCTTGATAAAGGTAGATAGAAGTTTTATTTCAAAGGATGAATTTTAGTAAGCGTCCCATATTGTGACGTCATAGAGTTTGAAAAATAGAATCTGTTGACAGCGACCTTTTTTGCTCATTTTTTGTTACCTTCAACTTTTCAGGGGTGTACATTAAACCAAAAATACGAGATCAATTTTTAATAAATCATGCATGATTATTTTGCTCTTAAACTCTAGTTTATTAATAAATAGTTGATTTTGTTCGCAAAAGTATGTGTTTTCTGTTGTATGTGGAAAAGTGGAGGACGAAAGGTTTTCAAAATTCATTAAAATAGGGCTAATTTACGCCATTCGCCTATTTTCAAGCACAGCAACACGTATATTTATTTCACCTAAAATATCAATTGATTCGTGTTTTATGGTGCTCCTAGCCCATTAACAATATATGTATGATATCAGAGTTATTCATCTAAAATGTTTTGAGATATAGAGATAAGAGCTCTTAGCTAAAACCGATGGATTTAAACTCGCTTGTAAAACGTTTTAACCAAAGACGTCCTGATCACAAGGGTCCTAAAACGTTTTAGTTAGGCGCTCTTACCCGGGAGCTCTTGAGAAAATTAACTTTACATTTGTGAAACGTTTTAACGCTATTAAAACGTTTTACTCAAGGTGTCTTAGGGCTCTAGTGTAAATTCAACTGTTGTAAATTGCCTCTGTAAAATCTTTGATCCTGTGTATCATACATTTGGACTTGCTAGTATATTATATGTGTGTGGCCTATCACATTTATTGTAGTATTTTGTTTTGCAGATATTAAAACATTGTGAAAATCACACTGCGCAAGTGTCACAACAACTACCAACTAAGGCATCGACTTAATAAATATATTTTTCTTATAGTAATTAATCTAACATATTCGTACTCAACTTAATGGTAATAAGATTCGATAAACAACGCCTAACATTGAAAAGAATAACGATTTTGTTGTGCACACAAAAGGTACACAGAGGTGCTTTATGACCGGAATTAACGATAAACCAATAAAGTGGTATTGGTTAAGGAGAAAGCAAAATAATAAGGTATAAGTCTACATAGCCTGAAATAATCCTTTTATAGAACAGTAGTCCACGAATACTTGGCACTTGGACTACATAGCAACAATCAATATGGCCGTCTCGTGGAAAGGTAATGATATTTTTTATATTTAATATTTCAAAACGAGTTGGATTGGTGCGTTCACCAGTCGGAAGTATACGAATTGTAGGTTTAAAAATATGTTGTATGTTCTATTTTGTTAATGATATAAGTTATAAGAATTACAAATTCGGTGTATTATTAAACATGTACCCATTATACAGGTGTGAATTTCATATAATGATTAACATTCCAACTGTGTGTATTGTAATATACGAATTCGGCTACGTATCTATATACAAGGGGTGGGGTTGACTTATAAAACCTTAGGTTTTATTTAACGAGGGTATCCACTCGAATCAGGCAACGTAAGTACCTCTCAATCGTTATAATATGGCATTACGTTGACATTATATGGGAAATTGTTTTTAAATTTTGAAATATTCACCATTCATACGAATCTACGTGTATTTCAAAGTACACAGTTGCCTTTAGCTTAAGTTCAATGAATATCATACACGATATTTCATTGATCAATTAAACATAGACGAGTCCAGAAGCGAAATTCTGGCAGAAACAAGTTGGCATATATGCAAATGCAATCTCGATATTGGTACTAGGGGATAAACTTTATTTACAGGCTCATATCGACTTAGAATTATTGTGACATTACTTTATTACAGCTAACACGCGAAGCATTATATACAATTGAATGTTTTATCTTAGAACAGAAATGTATACGTGAATCGATATAGCAAAGGCATTGGGAAGATGACATGTAAGCAGACACTATATAGCCTAGCACCAGAACTTACAACAGACACTGTCACCATTAGAAAATTGTTAACTATAGATTTAAATCGAAAACGAATATAGTGATAAACATGGCCACCATAAAAGATGTCAGATTGAGAAATATATATCAAGTTTTCAAAAAATCACAGACTAGTAACAGACTAGACACTGCCACCATGTAATAATAAAATTGCGACTAAAACCTTGTCTGAATACTGTAATGTTTAAATATATCGCACGCTAGAAGACTAGTAGACATGGATACCATAATTGGTGAATGTTCTCAATATAATTGTATGTGTTTTGTACAATAAACTAGCGCATTGTAAACATTAAATCTGTTAGTACGGCAATTTGAAAGGCTTGACAAATATTTAACACGACCTTCAAATATTAACGTAAAAGAAGAATATAACCTCCACATTTTATCGCATTGACAAATGTATGCACACTTAACTGTGATAACAATATGAGTAAACGTACTAATCTTGTATTTTTATTTTTGTTTTCAGGTTGATCATGCCACCAGCTGGGATCTCGGATATAGGACTCAATTGCATAAGAACAAAACATGAATGTCTTAAAGAAATATCATTGAGCGAATAAGACTTTTGACTGGCGTCACACACCTGAGATTTTGATACAGGCTTGGCAAATATGGCTACCGATGGGAGTACACATAGTTTCGACTTCCGTATGTCAAAGAAGGTTGCTGAACTGACTCAAGTCGTTCATATGCTCTTTACTCGGAATCACGAGAGGGAGGTCGAACTTGAAGCATACAAAGATGCTTATGAATACGAGATTGAAGTCATATTAAAAGATGCTCGCTCAAAAATAAAGCAACTTGAAGAGGAACTTGCAAAAGCGACTGTTACTTTTGGAACGAATTCTTCACAGGTCGCGGATAAATACGAAGCCAAGTTAAAGAAAAAAGAACAGGAATGGCAAATCAAATTACAAACTTCAGAGGCGGCTCTAAAAGAGGAGCAAAATGAATGCCAAAAAGTACGAGATATGTTAATCATGGCTCAAAATGATATTGAACAATTAAAGGGAAACCAATCTCAACAAAACAAAGATCTGGCCGAAGAACTGGAACGTAAGACAAAATACATATACGAACAAAAACATATCATACATCAGCTTGAACAGCAGGTTAAATACAAAGAGCAACATCGAAATGACGTGCTAGCTCAGCTTAAACAAGCAAATGCCAAATTAACCTCCGAACTGGATGACACTAAAAAAGCAATAGATGAATCTCAGAGAACTAAAGAAGATCTGATAGGAAAAAATAAACAACAAGAGTTAGAAATAAAAACTTTAAAGAAAGCATTAATAACCCACAGCAATACCCCTGGTCAGAAAGTTGTAAGAACTGAAAAAGCAATGCTAAAGGTAAACTGTGTGGTATATTCTTTTAGTTTTTGCTAGAACTACATTACCAGGATTACTTGCTTTATATAACCGCTTTAGTGCTTAATAGATTCGCACCATTCTATCCAAACAGATTATTTAGCACGCTTTGTCCACCCTCTTATTTGATGGAACAAAAATATAGTGACTTTAACGTTGAAACTACATAAATGCATGAGTTGTTTACAGTTACATAGAGTAATAGGCATGTCTGAAAACTCATTTAATGAATTTGCTTCATTACCTTAATTTCTTTAAAATTACTGATTTTCTATTGTTCTGCTTCCTTATGCATGACAGATGCTTGAAACCTTAAACCTGACAAACTCCCATCTCTGCGCATCTGTACTTTCCACAACTTATTTGACTTATTCTTGGCCCTAAGTTTTGGCCTGCTTCAACCAACCTTGGCCATCATCGACTTCCTTGACGCCAGACGGTTACTGTAATAAAGATATCGTTGTCAGGTTTAGGGTTGTATCAATAATCAAAGCTTTGCACGAGTTTGATTCTATTTTTTCATTGTCTTTTAGCCTCAAAGAGAAGCACTGTCACAGACTAATGTAGCTGCACTTAAAAGGAAAAATGATTTAGAAATTGAACGACTTAAAGAGGTGAACTAAAAGAAGCTTGCGAAATATTAACATTGCAAACGAATGTTTATTATTTTCTCATCTTTCTCTGCACGAGTGATGCTTGTGGTCTCCGCTTACATATACACAAATGCATTGTTTTTCATAATGCACATGGCACATAAAGCCTGATATACAGGGCGTATCAAAAAAAACGCAACAAGTAGTTATCTCGTAAATTCACAAAACTAGTGATGACTACATCAACTTCATTCAATGTACCATAAAGCCACGTCTCTCCTCTTTGCAATGATATGTCATTCATTCACATATGGTAATGGTTGGGTGAGAAATCCTTCCATTTGCATAGTGGGTCGGCTCTGCACCAAGTTTTAGATATTGCAAAAATCAGTGCAAGGGCTAAGTGCTAATGGAAGTTCCTCTCACTTCAATTGTTGTGACTTTTACTTTTGGAGCTATCTCAGGAGCATCTGTGCTCACAATTCCTCCACCAGATATTGCAAAACCTCAAGAAAGAATTGCCCATGGGCTGCTTTTCTCTGCTTTAACCCATAGATGACTCGCTCAGGGCTGAACCATGCATGACCGTGACAGATGAGCGCATCTTTATGTGCAAGGAAGTGGTGGCTATTTGGAGGGGTATAGGATGTATTCTTGCTTGAGTATTAGTATGAAAACTTTATTGTCTATGCCACACCTGTCACACCTTCTTCCAATAGCCCATATGCCCCTTTTCCTGACTTTTGCAATGTTTAAAACTTGGGTCCGAGCTGAATTTTGCCCCACTTTGCAAAATTAATAATCATTCGGCCAGCCATGACTCCCTGTGAATGAATGATATTCCATTGCAAAGAGGAGAAATTTGGCTTTTTGGTACATTGAATGAAAAGGATGCAGTCAGCATTGGTTTGATGTTTTCTTCGAATATTGCAACGGGCTCCATACACTGACTTTTGGGATGTTTATAACTTGGTCCCAGGGTAATTTTGGCCCACTTTGCAAATGTAATGACCCAATATCAACGAATGATATACCATTGTAAAGAGGAGACACATGGCTTTATGGTACATTGAATGAAATCAATGTTGTTATCACTGGTTTTGTGCTTTTCCGAGATAACAATCTGTTGCGTTTTTTTATACGCACTGTATATTGTCTATTTAGTGGCGTAAACTAACTTAAATAGCAATTTAAGAAAATGGGCACTTGTGTGACAAAATGATGTTTAATTTAGGACATTGATATGATAATCTCTTTTCCTACCAAATTCAGTTGTGACAGGTATATTTAACTTCCTGTACGCACACTTAAAATGCAACATTCAAACTATATTTCAGGATTATAACGAGGAGATTGAGCGTCTTCGGAAGGAGATTCAGCGATATCGCATGGAACTTTATAACCGAGAGGGGAATTTTAACAGAACATTTGCCAATACAAAACCTGTTTTAGTGGACCAAAGAGCGGGAAAAGTTGCCCATCAAAGTCCAGTTGGTGGGCCAGTAATAGGACATTTACCTCGGTCAAATACAGTTATTGAATCGGGACGCCGGTCTTCTATAGACAATGGCATAACACGATCTCATACTGTACTAGAGCGCATGGAACGAGAGAGATCTTTTTTGGCGTTTGCAGAAATGGCTGACGAACTTGAGGTAGGTTAAGATCACATTAAAATATGATTTACATGCAAGATTGTAGAAGTGGTCTTGGCTGTTATGAAACGTTCTCATGACATCATAACAGGTATAGCATGTAAGCATGCACAAGTACAACATGGGAAGGCCAACGAGTAATTGAAGACACGATTTGACAAAAGATTAAGAACATGGTCAGTTATATGGAATACAAACCCCAAATATTGCAATATATAATTCACTCACATACAAACGATGTCTTAACCATGTACCAACTTTTCCAGGCATCTAAAAGCGCACCAGCCGGGCTTCACAGACTACCCACTCTAGGAATGGACCACAAGAGTAGGCTTGGTAGACTCTCAAAACCAAAGCCAATTGCAAGAGAAATGCTAAGCAGTAAACAATGAGAGAAAGTCATAGATGAACGAGTTTTGAAAATGTGGATGAGACTATTTGGCAGAAAAGTTGTTACAACGATGAAATTGTAATGGCCGCTAAATATACACAGGCTGGCTATAACATTCGGTTCTTCCCTTTGCCCATTGGAGTGAAGAGTAAGAATTTTCGTCAGTATTGTCCGATGGACAGTTGCTCAATTTAAAGCATTTACATATTAAATGTTTCGTGATATGTCATTGATTATCTAAACTTAATTTTATGAAATAAACGATATTCTAAAGTAAATTTTTTGAGTCGGTTGGTATTAGATTGATGCACTAGTTTTGCTAAATGACCCAGTTCTGATAGTTCAACTCATAGTTGCTACTCATGAAAAAAGTATACAAACTTTTCTAATAGTTAATAATTGTGAAATAAGCCAGCAAAACCAAAACTCCGATCATCTAATGCAATAGTCGCAAATAACAAAAATAGGGCAGGGTTCAATTGTAAGCAAAGTTGTGTACTCTCACTTACACGACCCTACATGATTGAAAAGTCCCTTGTTCAGTCTCTCTGAACGTTTAATTCATTTTCACACTGGCGGATCTGGGGGGGGGGGGTGGTCATTACTGGGCCCACTTTTGGGTTTCAGGGGCCCAATTTTTTTTCCTCGCAAGCGCGGAACTTTTTTCTCTGACCTGAAAATCCCCCCCCCCCTTTGTTGGTACCAAGATCCGCCCCTGTTTTCAGATCACATTTGTCTTTCATGCATGTATTTCGTATGGATGGTTTAATTGATAACATGAATTAAGGCATGTTGAGAATCATAATAATATATAAATAATGAAAACAATATTTACAAAAACATCTTTCTTAAAGAAACCTCAAGATTTTTGACGAATTTCAAGTATACCTTTAGATAACTTCTACTATTTCAAAAATTAGGGAAGGTCTGTATAGGATATTATTTCGATGCACGGACGGAAATTATTTTCAGTCTAGGGTTTCTGAAACGTTGAATCTTGTAACAAAGAAATCTCAGATATATGTAGTGTAGGAACAGTTAACATTACAGCATGCAAAATCGCATGCATGCAAAGTCCATGCGACTTTTCGATGCAGTACCCATGCAACACCCACATGCAGCAAAATTAAAACTCATTTTTTAAAAACCATGCAAAGTCCATTCACCATCCACTCAAAGCCATGAAAAACACGTTAATAAACATGCAAAGTCCATGCAGTCTGCAAGAAATATTCGATGCAATGTCCATGCAAAATTGCATGCATCTGCATTGGTTTATATGAAAACCATGCAATACAAATGCAATTTTGAATGGTCTTGCATGGTCCATGGAACTTCCATTCAAATCCATGCAAAGTTCATGCAACATCCATTCAAATTCATGCAAAGTCCATTCACCATCCACCCAAAGCCATGAAAAACACGTTAATAAACATGCAAAGTCCATGCAGGCTGCAAGAAATATTCCACGCATGCCCATGCAAAATTGCATGCATAAGCATGGCTTTCTATGAAAACCATGCAATCCCCATTCAATTTTGCATGGTCTTGCATGGTCAATTCACCATCTATTCAAAATCATGCAAAGTCCATGCAACATCCATTCAAATCCATGCAAAGTCCATGCAATATCCATTCAAATCTTTACTCCATGCTCATTCGGTTGTTCTGATTTTCTCGATATATCAGCAATATTATACCCCCAAGTGGGTCTCATGATATATCTAAGGTATGTAAGGTATAAGCAATTTTAACGGGACATCACTGAATTTCCGGGAGAGAAACCTATAGCACAATGTACCTTTAAATCTGATAATGCTCGGCAATAAATGCGCATTCAGGTGAGCCACAGCTTTCTTGCAAAACATGACTGAATGTGGGACATCAGGTGTTCGTGATATCGGGCGGGTTTTCAATCCTACCGTATAACCCTATAAAGACAATCCTTCAAAAACTAATTGAAGGTTTGGGAATTCTCTGTGCTCAAATAGTCTTGCTTGTTCTTATAATTTTAAATACGAAAAAAATATTCTATATAAGGAAAAGAGTTTTATTTAACATTGTTAAAAATGTAACTTATGTAAAATGTGTCTTATAAGCCCAGGTAGGGCTGGCTATCTTAGATAGGTGACACTTAAATGAATGAATGAATAAATAAATAAATAAATACGAAATATTACTGATCATTATGTACATTCTTCAGAACGTAAAATAGAAAAGTAGTCATAACTTTTTAAACTTCGCTTATTAGAACCGATTTCACTTGTCGGTTTATGGGTATTTCAGTTGTACACGAACTGAGCAGGTCATCAGTGGTGTTCGTAATGACTTTATTCACTAGGACCACGTGTTACCAAGGAATTATCATCATGGTGGATCATCCACCAGCTTGCCATTAGATCCCCGCAGATGATCCATTCCGATCGAGGTAACACGTGGCCTTGGAATGAATGTCTTTAACTAGTTATCACAAACGGCACTAATCTGCTCAGTTCGTGCACAACTATAGCACCCAAAGCCGACAACGGAAATTGGTTACAATACTTATCATGGTTCCATTTCCAGTTCCATTTTATCGGAGATACAAAGTGTGGTCATCTTAATGCGTATCAATGCAAAAACAGAAAAATCATTTAAAATAAATAGTTTTTATTTTTGGGTACTGCAAATTTACAAATACATGATGTGTTCACAAATGGAGGCTATTACTATGCTTTTTACATACGTTAACACATTGTCATATATTATGAGAACCATATGGTTATCAGACTTTGGATGACAAACGTGAGTTTCGTTCAGTGCAAAGGATTATCTTCCACCCGGGTTCCCGGATACTTCTGTACTTACAGATTAACGTTAATTTGCCCTTCAGTCAACTAATACATGAGTAAAACCACAACACTGTGTGGCATAATATTAGCTAGTTGAATTACAATAAGAGCATTCCCATCATTTTCATAGTTCTATCGCTGTATTACATTTTTTATTTTCATCGTACATAATGTGTTAAATACACAATACTTTGACTTTTCACTTTGTATATAAGGGACTTAACACTAAACGTACAACACATAGCAATATACAGTACAATGGCTAATGAAATAATGAAAAAACTAAATAATATATTACAAAATAGTTCGCTCATATCCCACACGTGCGAAGTGTTATACACACTGTTTCCTTGTAAATATATAATAATGTTGATAGACAACTATAAAATAACTCAATTACATACTTTTAATTTCAAATTACATCAAAATCAACACATTTTCAAATGATAGTATACACAATTTATAACACATACACAATAAGTTTATTTTTATGTTCAAAAGTACAATGCAACCAATCTACATGGCAGGCATTATTTGCCTATATTGTTCGCACTGTAATATCAACATATTTTCTCAACTGCATCAACGTCTCAACCTGGCTCTAATAAATGTTTGTACGAAAGAATTCAAAAACATCACAAACAACGAACAAACTACAGTATGAATGCGACCGTAAAAATACAAGGTATGCACGATGTAAAAAACCTTTTCATTCACTATATACAATTTTTCATTAAATCGATTTATACACTTGTATTTTACTACCACACACTTAAGACTTTAGTGTATATACAAAATACAAACAATAGCTTGTAAATATAAATTTAAAATAATGTATACCATGCGCACACATGTTATACAAACACGTGCTTGATAAATCAGTAACACACACGTTTCACAAGTTAATATTTTCAAATAAAATGTATGAAGTATATAAGGCAAAACTGGATATTATAAGTTATTCAATGATTCGAGTGAAATACAGAAAATATTCTTCCCGAGAAGGTTGTATTTCACGATGCGCTAGCAGAGTGAAATACAGACGTTCAAGGGAAGAATATTTTCTGAATTTCACAAGAAATCATTGAATAACGTTTTTATTCCATGATTACCCATATAAAACTCGCCTAAATCAAGTCCGTTGGCTTGGGGCCGGAGAAACAGATCAACCTTCTCACCTCAGAGATATTTTACATCGATATTCCTTCAAAATCTTTATGTCCTTGTTGTTTGCTTTTTTTCCTCTTAAAATTATTGATTGTGGTGATCACAGTATACGTTTCTGATATTTGAATCAGATATTTATAGCAAAATTCAAAGATAAGCATGCGTTGGTGTAAGGTAATCGCCATTGATTTTTTTCAGTAACAGTCATATCCTGGATGGAAATCTGGGGCGTTGGGATACTGGACCGTATCCCAACGCTGACGTCATTGACACAGGAAAGTGCGTGTAAATACAGAATATATTTAAGTCACGTGGACCAATCAGATTGCAGGGAATTTCACCATCATGGAATAAAGCCGTGTATAAGGCAAAATGTAATAACGTTTGCCGTATATCAAGCACATCTGGATATATGTGGCTGTACATTAGACACACTGGACATTTTACCATATTTCATAGCTGTAAATTTCTTGCCATATTGCAGGCAGAATTTGAGATATTTATCGTATATTAGCAAATATGTTTCCAGGTTTACTCTTTCACCTGTCTATTTATATTAAAGTAGTCTTATATACAATTACAAATATGGAAAATTGATTGTGAAAACGTACAGTGTAACTATGTGTACAGTATACCGCTATAAAACTAGCGATTTTATAACTATAAAACTACCGATGTAAAATGGAAATGTTTTTTATTTATACTGTCACCTATCTAAAAAACTAACACTCTACAAATGCTATGTATAATATAATATTGAGAGTTAATAGAGGGGTTAAGTTATACGTTTTTAAGATAACCTGTACGTGAGCGTGTAATATTTCACCCCTCGGGGATAATTTTGTCCCGCTCTCGTTTCACTTTTCCAGGGACCTGATTACAATTAATTACCGTATTAATACCTTTATACTCAATCAGCCAAGTAAATAATATAGAATGGATAACTAATTAGAGGACCATAATTCTACACGTTCGCGTATAAGTTAAAAAAACGTGTACCTTAATCTCCCTATTTAGACATTTAATATTCATGTAAATGTACTACAAAATAATATTTGTAGACCAAACTATACACTGCATTACATCGTGATTAAATGTGCAAAATGGGTGATTGTCGACAGATTATCTCTTTGTACAATAATTTTTGTTCTGTTTTTGCGATCCCATTATGATCATCATTATCGCCATAATGATCATACTAGAATCGCAATTCGTTTAGCACATGATCAGCACACATTTCAATGGAGCAACAATATGCAGTGGTGGATCTTGAAGCGAACAAGGGTGGGGCCCAAATTTTGAGTCAGTAAAAAATGATCCGTTGTTGGGCCCCTAAAACCAAAAGTTTGGCCAACATTTTGTAAATATAAGGTCCATTTTTGAAAATTTAGCCTAAAATAACCAAATCATGCCTAAAAAGCCCATTTTTATGCCCTACAAAATTTCTGGGCCCAAAAATTGGGGCCCTCTGGATCCGCTACTGCTATGTTCTATTTCTCTCAATCATTCTACCAAGTTGTGTGCATGTTTACATTAGATATCTATCATTTAGGCACGTGAATTACGTGCGCTTAATCTAAATATACCAATGGTATGTAAAATAAATCGACAGCACATATTTCAGGGTGAATTTGACGTGTTGATGTATTAACATTCCCTTTCACCCTCCTGCATTGTCCACCCTTCTTAAACTCGTCCACAATGCTTCAAGGCTATAAACCATAACCTTTCTGTATTTCATGAATATCAGGCTAGGTTAGTTCATGGTCCTTTGTATATTTTATCTATCAGTCTTATTTCTGATTGATATTCTCATTTGATATTGTCCTTCTCAAATGAGTTCCCACGGGCTATCAATTGAGTTTTGTAGGTCTCTATTCTGTGTATATGCTCGTCAACCTGCTTATTTCTGCATTTACCAACATTTCGATTTCCCATTGACTTTTAATTGACAAAATTGATCAATGTTCTTGCTCCCCGATGCCCTTATTCCCACTGACAGTGGCATTATAGTGTTTAACAAACCAGGACTGGTACTCTAACTCGTCCCTTCCTGAGATATCTACACAATGTTGTCTTTAGTTGGTAACATTTCAACATCTTCATCATCAGATTCTGGGCTTGGTACTACCTCATCCATTTTAGGAGGTGCTGGCGGTTTGAGACAAGGGAGGTGTAAGGTCAAGTGCATTATCCCAGACAGGAGCAACATACCTCCACCTAGCAGGAACGATACTGTGTAGCCCCCAGTTGAATCATAGATTGAACCTAGAATTAAATTAATTAAGAATTAGGTTTTGAGATTTGACTAAAACACAATGAACAATCTATTGTACAATCTACAGTAGACGTCAAAGCAAAATCACGGTTCGAGTAATAAAGTGTTAAAGTAACATACGGTTACTATTAGGGGTCACACGGTTTGAGATTTCACGGTTCGGTTCGGTTATTGTATTTCACAGTTCGGTTCGGTTCTGATTGCGGTTCTCACGGGCCTCGTGAAATGAGCAAAAATATATGAAATTGATCCGAAAATCAGAAAACATACTAAGTGTGTCACAGTGTTTTATTGTATTCAGTATTGTAAGTATCCAGTTTCACACAATGTTTGTTTGTTTGTTCAGTATTTTTTCTCTCCCTCCCTCCCAAAATATCTGTGTGTTCACCGTGTTGATCTTCTTGTTTGATGTTCAAGTTTTTTCAACACATAAAATAACTTGTCAACTGTTGGCAAAATTAGCACAGTACTTCACTAAACTGAATAAATGTTTTCTTTAGAAATATAACTTAAGTTCATCACTTTGTCAGGACTCAACATGGATCAAAGGCGAACGTAATACACAGAACGTGACTCGTTCGCAAATTCAATGCATTCGGCGTTCGGCTTTTTACAGTATTCTGTTCTATCAACCAATAGGATTGCGCGAAATGTTTAGCGTAGGTCACTTCCGGGTCAATATGCCGGTGAAATTTATCAACATTTTCCTTTTGTTTTTGTTATCTGCCGTCTATATCAGAAGATCGTCGTAAATATCAGGTATGGTTCGCATTATTGCATGATGATTAACGATTCCAGACGATGTTTAGTTAATTGGTATTACACGAAAGCTTGAAATGGAGTTTAATTCCGAGTTTACATTTTTATTTTTCTGAAGTGAAACTGAAAATGTCACGGTTCTTCAAGAACCGCGGTTTTCAAGATTGTGTGCGAGCTAACCGTCGTGGAGGTATGAACCGCGGTAACCGCAAGCCACGGTTAACCGTGTGACCCCTAGTTACTATCGATATAATCTTGAACATAATTGTATAAGTCATAGCTCATATTAATTACAAGTAAAATAATGGGTTCCTACTGGCCAGGTTTCTTCCATTGGGGAAATATAAATATCAAGACCAACAGTGAAACGAAGACGTAAAATTCTTAAATGAACTAGCAATGACCATTGATGTTTTAGATCACTTAGTAGGTACCACTCGACATAACACTAGACACTAACTTCTTACTCAAAAGAGCCTTGTTTTATGAATGATAATTTAAATATACTTACCAGCTATTGGAGGGCCCACAATTGATGAGATTCCTCTGAATAGGGTCAACATGCCAAATGCATTAGTCAACTTCTCCAAGCCTAATATGTTGCACAGGACGATTGAAGTCAGTGAGATAAACGTCGCTGGAAAAGAAACAGCACAAATCATGAACACAAATTTAGGATAAATGGGAATTTTTACGAGAAAGAAATAGACAACATTTTTCGATCTCAACCCGTAGATTGTGGTTTAATCCTGGACGTTGAGCAATTTCCCATCCGAGCAAGCAAAAAATAGACTAGCCCAGATTGATTATTTTGATAATACAAATTACTTACCCACACATAACCCAAATACACCAGCAAATATCATAAGTGGTACATAAGTCGTACAGAACGGCGCTAACATCGTGGCTATACCGCTTATCAACAGCGCTATGTTGTGCAGAAGTAGTGGATCTACCTTCGGGAAGTCAGCAACCCAGCCCATAAATACTCTGCCAAGAGTATTAGCGATTCCTGTAATTAGAGGTGTAAGGCATAAAGTATCTCAGGAAGAGAAGAAATTAGAATAAAAGTATAACAAAAAAACAAAGGATCTGAAACTTATGTTAACATCTTATAGCATAGACTGTTTTAACTCAATATAGCGCTGTGTTGTATTTATGAAGTTACAATTATGAAAAATAGCTTAGATATACTTTACAATAGTATACTTTGTATTCATCTTTGATAGCATGACCATACCATGTGTGTAACTATTATCTAATATATCACTGGCACCCCGGAATAGCCTGACTACGGTAAAGTCAGATACCGTTGTCACAAATGGCGGACATAACCGTCGCTTCAATTAGATTTTCATGAACTGTATGTTTAATAGAGCACCTAGACTAAATTCCTTTGGAACAGCAATCAATCAACGTGTCTTAATACTCATTGTACAGTTAATAATGTTCTACCATCGAAATAAAGTCTTTAATTTAACCGATCAAAATGAGATACGGGACAACGGACACTGTAATTACCATATGCCGTTGTCTTTCTAAATTACTGAAATTCAGATTCCGTTGTCATTGACGATATCGAAGACACTATATTGTGGCGATTCACGACCCAATTTGATCGAAAATGGGATTTCATATTGTACATTATCACAAGAGCTTAATGCATGCACAGAATTAGCGACGATAAAATCCCATTAAATGAGGACCAAGTGATTAAACGGTTGAAGCGACGGTTATGTCCGCCATTTGTGACAACGGTATCTGACTTTACCGTAGTCAGGCTATCCCGGTGTGACTGGTTTATGTCAATAAATCAATCAATCCATGTTATTTAATAAAGTAATGCACATCAATACTCATCGGTTTATATTAATAAATTGAGGAGAACGACCTATCCAACTTACCTATGACGGAAATAAGCCAAGCAGCTTCTGTCGTGGAGACATTATTCTCAATAGCGAAGTCACTGATATAGACGAAGGGAATGTAGAACCCGATGAAGAGAAGGACATTTCCTAGACAGATGATCAAGAACTTAGGATCCTTGAGGATGCTTATATCAAGCATCATCTGCAGGGTGTCCTTTGCGGATTTGGGCACGCATGACCAACATTTAGATTCCTTCTCCGGGGCAACGGAATCAGGAATCGTAGTGATACTGGTGACGTAGCTTTTTACATTGGGTTGAGATCGGAACTGGGGAATATTTAACACACTTCCACTGAGGAAGATGTCCTTTCTATACAAAGGCTTGGCATAGTCTTGTTTTTGTATTTGCTCGACACGTGTTTTAGGTTTTCTGGGTTTGTTTGGTTTTACCAAAAGTTGGCCTGCACTTGCACAATAGGTGTGTTCAGTTTTGAGATGATTTAGATGTCCATTTTTCTTAGCTGACCCGTTGATCAACATTGGGGCAGTTTCACTTGTTACACCATTTCCGTTTGGAACATGACCATTCTTTGGTACTGTTCCGTTTGTGTCATTTTCTTTTGTAGGTATTTCAACTGGTCCCTCGATATAAGTTGTATCATCCAGAACGTCATCCGGAATTTTGTCAAGCCCATCCTTCACCGAATCGTTTCCTTGTTTTCCATCAACAGCCACTCCCGATGGGATATAACTGTCCGTTGATGGTGACATTTCCATGTCAGAATCCCCCACGGTGATTCTTGGTGGCGCGCTGTTAATCGTTATACTAGGAGTCATAATTGGCGGACTTTTAGAAGTGCCCAATTTTGAATCGCCTTTACTGTTCTGTCTACTGTATTGGATGCTATTCTGTCGACTGTTAATAGGAGTTCCATCTTTGCCTAAGCTATTTACGCCACGTAAGGAATGAAAGTAAAGACTTGGCATGGAGCTCATTTCAGATTCAGATTCCTCGTCTCGTATTATTTTTTCTCTCGTAAGCTTTGCTTCTCGAACCTTCTCCATGATAGCTGTTTGATACTTGATAGAGTTTATGTTGGCACTGCATTCCGATTCGCTTCGATTTCTCTTCATAATCTTCGAGTTTTCAATCAGCCTGTCGATAATGTTTTTCTCCCGTGGTCGATGAATTTTCTTCGCTGGTTCAAGGGGCCTAAATAGCATACCTAATACGCATGCGTTGAGTGTGATTCCGGAAATGATCATCATTGCGTTTTTCCAGTCAAGAGTGTCCAAAAGGTATCGTCCGAACGGGGCAAATAGAAAGGTCCCAATTCCAGATCCGCATACGGCAAGTCCAGTTGCCAGTGCCCTCTTTTTCTCAAAGTAGTAACTAACAGCAACGCAAGATGGAAGATAAATGAACCCGAATCCAACACCTAAAATTCATAAGGTAGTGTTAGATATTAGATATAACATATTACTAACATTTGTGTGCCAATATCGTATATATGAAAGGTTTGTCAACTATATACAGAGGTGAAATGATGGTAGGTGTTAGAGATTTATTTTAATGCCCATCCTTGGATTTAAAAATAAAGGTAATCCTGTTATTGATAACTAACAATACTAACATTTGAATAATCAAAACAAAAGTATCATTTTTGCAATCCACCAAATACTAACTGGATCTTTAACCAAACGTAACGTTTAAAGCACACTATTGACCTTTTTAAATATAATGATGAACTTTCCTTTACAAAAAAAAATATGTATAAAACTGTGTTTATGGTTTTTACTTCGACAATACCGTTTTTCAACCTTGTACAATTTGAACTTTTGAATTAATTACACCAATTAATAAATGATTATAAAAAATAATTTTTACCATTATTGTAAAGATACGATAAAAATAAAATTTAAATCAACAGTGTGACGTTTTAACATCGTTAAGACAATTTTCTCTCTCTCGTCAATATATAAATCACACAGGCTCTGCCAAACCAGAGCATCCTCACAAATTGGTGTACAGATTAACTTTAATTGTATGTACTTTTCATCTCAACAGGTAATAATAGATGGCAGGTATGATCCCCATATAATATTGATTATAATTTATAATGCAGCAGCACTACTCAATACATTATAATGAAAGGGTGTATGAATATTGGTCGAAATTACATCATAGTGCCTGCGTGATATATAAATGCATATGTTTATCAATTATTGGTCATATAATTATCACATACATTGAACACATACATTTACTAAATCAGTAATGAAAATGTATTAACCATCTGCCAGATAAAAGGCATAAACTGTATATTACTTTTACATGTTAATACACAGCTGAAGAAAATTAATTTGTTGAAAAGACCAGGAAGTATATTTTACAATAAGGAGGTTTAGGTACGCGCCTTTAAAAGAACTTGTTCGTGATCATAAAATCTTATGAAAGTACTGCCCCCTCCTCTCAATACCCAGAGGATCACGATTCTCCACGTTCATATACAAGTTCGCTCAAAAGAGTGTGGCTTGAGCCCCCTTATTAAGGCAATATTTGCCTGTATATAAATTACCTCCAAGGACGCCATACGTGAAGATGAACAGGTTAATGTCGTCGCAGAAGGAACATAGAAAGAACCCTAGAGATGCCAGCAAACCCCCAAATACAGTCACTGGTCTGCATCCAAATCTATTGGCCAGGGCACTCACTATTGGACCTGAAATTAATGTGTATATTTTACAATGGCGCACAACACTTTCTGACAGATCTGTTTAATAATATTGGCCAGGGCACTTACTATTGGACCTGAATTTAATGTATATATTTTACAATGGCGCACAACACTAATGCCTGGGTCACATTTGCTGCGATTCATCGGCCGGCGCCCGGCCGATTGAGTATTTTGTTGAAAATTGAATACGTTTCTGAAGAAAATACTCAATCGGCCGGGCGCCGTAGTGAAAATCGGAGCAAATGTGACCAAGGCATAAGGTCCGACACATCTGTTTAATATGGCTTTAAGGGAGGGATGCTTACATAATTGACCCTAAACAAGGCTTGATACGGATGTTCTTTGTGAAACCTTAAGTATTTTCAAAGGTCTCTAGATAGGAAAAAATGAATCATAATGAAGTCTAGCAGACTACATTGCAGCTCATCAATCATAAAATTAAAAAGCATAGATCTATAGTTGTATATTGAGGACCCAATGTTCAGGTTTGAGCTCATTTATACTTTGGAAATACAAAATGTGAACGGAGGGTGGATATTAATCCTGATTTTTGATTTTTTTGGGGGGGGGTTCAGCTCAAATACAATCATACTTAATGCTGAACATCTATGGCTATTAATGTTGATGGCTAGCAAACTGATCGATATGCTGGTACACCAAGATACATGTAATTCTAAAAAGAGGACTTGGTTGGAGGATGATAATAGTTACGATATTCAAATGGTTACCTGCGCAGAGGTACATCCCGCAAAGCAGAGACCCGGCCATAGCAGTCTTCCCTTTGCTGGCACCAAAGTATACGACGAACTCCATGTAGAATACGCCAAATGTAAAGGCAATCCCATCCACTATACAGTTATTTAACATGGATGCTACAACGATCACCCATCCCCACCCTCCATCCGGCGGGGTAGGGATATAGTTACTGATGCTATCGTTTGATGTCGTAGACTCGCCTGAAGCGTGGCGTATGCGTTTCTTCTCGAATTCTGTAGGCCCAGTCGTCATTTTGGCGTCTGGGTATTGTATGCTGTCACAATGAGATCAATGTGTGAAAATATATGTATATCTGTGTATTCACAATTTTATTATTTGTTGATTCCTAATTGTTTTATTTGTTTGACCTGTCTGCAAGCTTTCGTTTTCTATGTATAGGAGTCCTTTTACACATCTTACAAAAAAGTTCTTTTAAAGTATATCATTATCGCCTCTCCTGGAAATAGATGGAAAATGAAATAAGTGACGCGTTCAAATGTATCTCAGCGTTAGTTGGAATAACGCAAAGATCTCCTTTTTACATGTACTTTTTAGAAGTGTCAGTGACATATATATGATTATATTGCGACACCATGCAATATTCAAACTGATTAAAAATATTCTTTAAGATAACCTTTATTTGTGTTCATATCAGTACCGTTGTAAGTTTATCTTCTGAAATAGATTTCCTCTAAAAGGAAGCTAAAATCAAAATACAAAGAATACATGAAATGCTTACATTCCTCAATGCCATAACAATAAGCATTTGCAAAATGAGAAAGTTGTTGTCCAAACCTTTAATAATTTTTTAAACGTAAATCCATATCCTTGGATAATTACTTGATTATTTGTTTGTAACTCTTCAAGAAACGTCTCATATATATTCTTCTAGACATACAATGGAAATAATGAAATCAGAAACGACTTGGCATCGATTCTTTTGAATAAATCGAGCGTCAGTCTCAAGCTGGCATCCAGATGTCTTCCTCTTTGCCCTGGTTTTACAAGGTCAATGCATAGTTAAGACCTTATTTGACCGCTGCCAGCATGCTCGTCATGTTCGAGGATTAAATAAAGAAATATTATACTGTTTGCCTTATGAACAATACCATTTCACACCTATATAACCATCACAGAAGATAACAAAGCAATATAATATGATATATTGCATTTTTAATAAAGACGAGATGCCCAAACTTATCTTTGAAAGTAAGAGAATTCAATCTCATGATCCCAATAAATATGATAACGTTTAATAAACTCATATCCCAATATATCATTAATACAAAGAAATCTTAATAAAATTATAAAGTATATTACCGCGTGGTCTCCAAGTTTATGAACTATCACAGGCTCTTGATCGAACTAAAAATCCATGCTACTTTGTTTCAATTTCTGACAAGTCATTCTCTTGAAATGGGCCCATCCCACTTCAGAGGACGTGACAATACCAATGTTACCGAATTTAGCATCCTGTCTATTAATATGAGAAGTGTGATCGAACAATAAAGCCTTCAATAATCAAGGTTACTATCACCAAAGGTTCAGTTCGGTTAAGGGTCATTGATTTGGTCCAAGGTACACGTCTTATCAAGAGATTCCAAAGCAGTTTCAACTTCACATAATCTCATACACTCCAAAACATGTGTTTGAATTTCGTGAACCCCTATTATGTCCATTCGTTTTGACAAAAACTTTTTTACAAACGTAACGATTGGCAATTGATTTGAATTGACGATAAATAACAAAAATTTTCAAGCTGATTTATAGGTACGTCACCCTCAATACCAGGGAATGGCTTTGACTAATTACCCGTCCCAAATAGTGGGATGCGTACCGTTCGCTCCCTCAGTTACATTGCGGTCCTAATGCCACCCCTTTTCTTTGAACTTATGCATATTTCTCGCATCCATACAAAATGTTTACCTGTTTGCCCAATCAGCTGATTCATTAAGAAAGGAATTACACTAGAGTGAAAGTAAGTTTGAAGGTCACTATTACTATCAGGGGTGTGATGTAACGAGTGCCCTGGATAATCTCAACCGGCATGGAGACACATGTGTAAGAGTTTACTCTTCAGAAGTGTTATTATCATTGATAGAGCAATAATTAGAGATATGACACAAGTTAATTGGAGAAATTCAAGCACAATCGAGTGCGAACTTTAAGTATTGTGCTACTTGCTATATAGGTAATCCAATTTCATCTAATCAGGTCAGTAAGTGTATTACACGTACTACAACTTATCTGTTATATCTCATCTATGACGAAATAGCTAAATATAATGATTGAATCTTGATCAAGATCGATGAATGCAGTGTGAAGTCCGCCTAAACTATCATAAATAATTATCAGTGGTTTATGAACATTAGCATTAACAAATTTTGACGATTAAAATGAATACTGTTAGAATTGTTCATAAAGTTAGAATTGTCCATTGATGTAAGTATTTCTAAATATACATATCCGTACTATGTACATATCATGTTAAATACGCTATCTACACAGTGAATAAATAAATCGACTAATATAGTTCGTTACCTGTTAATAATCACTGGGTTATCAAATCACACTGTAAAGGTCAAGGTGGCCCACCAAGACACAAGAATGTCGTTAATGTGTAATTAAACGAAAACTTCAAAGTGATAACTTGACTTACTTTAAACGTTATGTATGACGAGTCTTTAAAAATCCTATGCAATGAAGTGATCCCCTTTTATTACAATTAGCTAACTTACTTTTTCAACTGCGGATTAACAAAGCCCTGTGCAAATCAAGACTCGTTATAAATAATCCCAAGGTGCAAGAACCAGCGTCCAATGCTCCTCTTCAATCCTTCCTTGATCACATGTCTTTAAATGTGGGTAAATAAATCTAGCATGTCACTTGTACGTAAAAATCCACATACGTCAGTAACAGTAGCAGATCCCTAGAACCTAAGAGTCACCTTACGTGACCTCAAGAGTCACTCAATACGGTTGATGAAGAGAACAGCTGATCACGACTGACAATATAAACGCATGTACCATATTAAAAGAGAAAAGATATTGAATGGATAGCAAAAAATAAAATCGTAAAGGTTCCAAAGGAAAGAAAATGTTTCCCCATCCATCAGACGACTAAGTGATCATTTGCAATAATTCTAAACTCATAATATTGAATAAGCTAAGCATGTTGAGGATGTTTAACGGGATATTCTCGTGTTAACACTGGCATTTAGCATGTTAATAGTACCCCCTTTTCATGCTACCAAGTACAATAGGGGACTCCTGTGTCAACACTTCCATTGTAGCATGTTTATTAGTACATGTATCCCGTTTTTTTCAGTGCTACCAAATTAATAAATCAATTGATGTCAAATAGGGCATTCTTAAATTACCATTACCACTGCCCTAATCTCAAATTCAAACTCCATTTATTGTAAGTACCTCTGTTGAATTGCATTATTTCTTGATATAAAGTCAATCAGGGATACATTCAAATGTCGATTGCCTACGAGATAAGTTAAATGCCAGCAGTTGTCGGTGCCATATACGAGACTCTGAGTTATAGTTCTTCACCTTATTATACGTTGGCTTTCGGTAATACAATATACCATTGTTGTAATTTATAGCTTTCAGATTAAGTGCCAGGTTTACGAAGCTCTGTGGATAGATGAAGAAAAATTGCAAAATGTATAACAAAAGCTTCACTTTTCACAGAATATCAAAAATCATAAAATTAGTACTCATGCACTGGCTATATTAAACAGGTACAACATACAGTATCTGATATTGTAAGCTGTCGTTTTGGCAAAATCCCAGAGAGTCAGCTGTTTTGCGAAATAAAACACGCTGGGTAGATTTAGAATTAAAATAGAATTGTGTTGATTTATTGTCAAGCATTCGGTGCCTAGATGAATTTGCTCTGTAAGTGTTTGCCATGTATAATTCCAAGCGATCGTTGAAAACAAAACAAAGTTAGCGCATTTAGAAAATATATTGAACCTTATGCAAATTACACAATTTTTATGTTGGTTTATTTGCCAATTTGAGCACATGACCTTATAAAGCAAACAAAGTTGACATTAGTATTTTGAAAGAGTTGAGCTAAAACGTATCGACCTCTTAATCGGTTTATGCGTACCAAACAATAACATCATATGATTATTCTTGGTAAATTTATGTAAGAAAAATGATCAAAATATTTACATTATTACACAAAGCTGGTATTATACAACAAAATATCCTGTATTATAAAATAACGTTAACCTCGCTAACACCATGGCTAAGGACAAGAGGAAAACAAAATCAATGCGGGTACTGTGATAATATATAGTATAGTTTCTAAATAGCTAAATAAAGCTTAATAAAGCTGACATAATAGATGTCACCTTTGTTCATCTTGGGCCAACCTTCCATTGAGTTCCATGCTAAAAGCTTGCAATAGTCACTTAATTTCATGATTTATCAAAGAGTGTTAGTTAAATCTGTCTGAAATTTGAATGGCATACTATTAAATGACCCTGTCAATGAACATATTGTGATTAAACATGAAAATGTTGGTTGTCATACGATTAAACCATGGTTTTAAAGAATTTTAGCATAACATCAATGGAGATTTGGCCCAAGTTTTTTTTAATGTCATGGAGAATGATTTAAATGACATTAAATGAGTAAATCAAAGCTATTACTGTAGGAAACATATCACTGAATTCAAATATGCTATTAAAAAGAAAGAAAAGTAAGTCATTAGAGGTAAAATGTGCAAATCTCTTAAAATCTCACGAAAAAACGAGAATTAGCGAGATTTCAAAATCATTTAGAAACTCCTCTATTGAACATAGTATATATAGGGGTAGTGAACCAGAGGAACGAATTCCTCTACGTGATAAACTGAATGAATATGCTGACTCGATGTTCATGATACGGCATAGGTCTCTTTTCACCTAAGACAATATCATGTGTATCAATTAAAATTGTACGATACCATACCATAATAAAATTTCATATTTATTTAATTGACTTTAAAATATCTTTTCACATGTTTCCAGAGGTTCTCTAATGGTTACTGATCAACTTTTGTCCATTGGCCTCACATACTGCACGTGTAGTGACGCTCTTTTTGGATCTGCCCATTCACTGCTACATTCTCGGATTGGTTAATATATCTTACTGTTGGCTACCATAAAACATCAGTATCATATTAAAGACTCATCGAGTTTATTGAGCCAGATTTATAGGTTTCAAAGTATGTGAATCTACGGCTTGATTTATTTTATGTCTTGTACAAGTGTATTGTTGCCCTTATTAGCTGTACGTGTAATTGGCTTGAAATCTGACAATTCTCTTGAATACTTACCTTGTCGCATCTTCCTATAGCTTCCTATAGAGTGAAATGGTCTGAAGTACGAACATATCTAGATATACTCATACACCGACAGTTTGGATATTTGTTGACATTTGAGACGCAATCCAA